GTTTTTTTTTTAAATTTCAATTTGAACACGAATTTATTTTATTTATAAATCAGGTGCTTAAGCTATCATAGATTTCCTTCTGGTCCCAAAAGAAAAGTTGTCGTCAATTTCCATATCCAAATTATGATGCTCGAATATCTCCGAATATGAGGCCTTTCACTAACGATAAATTCACTTCCCATCCTATTTAATTCGGAGTTTTTTGTGGCCCGAACGCTAAATTAACGGAATTCACGCGATTGAGTTGCTCGTGCCTTCCAAAAAGCTTAGCATGGTAGCCGAAAGGAAAAACAAAAAAACAAAAAAACCTCGAGGGCATGATTGTAAATGTGAAAATGGTGTTCCTTATCGTACATTAATTTAAAGCATCCAAATTAACCTTTGCCATTTCAAATGTTGTTGACACAAGACAAATTAAAAGATCATCCATATTCAGATTAGAATATTATAAAGAAATCATTGTCTCGTTGCAACTTCGCACTGAAAGAGGGAAAGCCCAAGCTGATAGCGACCCCCCTCGCGTGAAACTTAGCTTGAACTCGACGGTGGCTGTTTCAAGAGCTCTTTGCAAGATTGCACTGGAAGTGGTCGTCTGTGACCTTAAATTTGATTGGATTGTCCCCTAAAAGATGGATCACCCCTTTGTCTTAATCAAGGTTAAACATTGACCGACATGTACCTAAGTTGCTTCGAATATCCTAAATTTTCCATCTACAATTTTCAAGAAGTCTAGCTATGACTTAACGAGACGAATAATTTCAAGGAGTCCTTATAACTTCAATTTCTTCAGGGGCTGGAGAACATAATGTACTCTGAGCTTTTCCGGGATGAGAATATAAAACGGAATGGATTTGAAGAAAACATTGCGGTCTAATGCGTACTAAAAGAAAGGTTAACTTACTAAATTTACTCTGAGTTCTTTTTTTAGTCGAATTTGTACCCGAGTTTATTGTGTCTATACATCAAATGCTTAAGCTATAATAAATTTCGTTCTGGCCCGAAAGGAAAAGTTTTACTAAATTTCCCTATCCAAATGATGATGCTCGAATCTCTCCAACTATGAGACCCTTATTCTTTATGACTATAACTTCATTTCCCATCTTGATGAATTTGGAGTTTATTGCTGCCAGAAAACTTAGCAATCTAAGGGAGTCAATGCGGATGAGTTGCTTGTGGCTTCCACAGAGCACAGCTTCTGAGTAGGAAGGCGGGCAAAAGGACTTTGGAGCGAATGAGAAAAACAGAGGACTCTGTTTTCGTGTTAGTTTGTTGGAGAGTGTGAAAAAGGAAATACCTAAAGAAAAAAAGAAAGAAAGAAAGAAAGAAATACCTCGAGGGCATGATTGTGAGAGTGAAAGTATTCCTCGTCGTTCATCCAAATTAACCTTTCACATATTTAATATCGTCGAGACAAAGAATGGTAGAAGATCGACCATAGTGAGATTTGAAGATTTAAGAGAAGTTATGTCGTCTTGAGCCTTACTACTGGCATCTCCCAACTTTCCATTAGGCCCCCGATGACGGTGACTAGTGAGGACTCGTCTGAAACTTAGTTTAAACTTGACGACGGTTGTTTTAAGGGATCATCGCCCTGAATGTGCAGCCGTCTTTGACTTTTTTCCTATGAATGACGAGAAGATAGTGGAGCTGACACTTGGAGGCATGTGACTGTGCATGTACGTTTACCCGCTTAATTCAGTCAAGAAAGGTCATCTTCACATGGACAATTCTGTTCACGAGAAAATTACTTCAACGTGGGCTAGTTCTATTAACTCTTATACCAAGTAAGACCAAATAAAACGGACCACAAACTCAATTTTTAGATCACAAAATTAAATAGGAAAACAATATCTAGTAGAGTTTCTATTCACTCCTCAAATTTGTTAATTGTTTTCCAAATTTTAAAAATCACAAACTTGTTTGCTTTAACCTTTTCTACTATGATTTCTCGCATTAGTTAAGGCTATTGTTTTTAGTGGTAGTAATATCCAATTTACGACTGAAAGCATCAATAAATTCAGCTGAGGACATGTGGGAATTAATAAAGATCCTCTGTCCAGACCGATTCAAGTCTCCTTGTCCCAACGTTAAATTAGGTATTTCTTACTCAAAATTGATATGAAAATTACAAAAAAAGTCTTAAACCTATTGCAATTGTGCTAATTCAACCTTAAACTTTTTTTTTGGCTAATTGAGTCCTAAACCTTTTGCTTTTGTGTAAATTTAGTCCATTCGACTAATTTTGGCCGGAAATCGGTGACATGAACGCTAGCCGAATTACGTGAGGCGCAACCAGCACTGACATGGACATATTTTAATATTTTTTTCGATTTTTTAATTAATTTTTAATTTTTTCCTTCCTTCTTTTGTTTCCCACTGTGGCCGGCGAGGATGATTGGAGCTTGTTGGCCACTGGGCTAGGCCAACCTCACCATGGCCTCGCCCGCGGCTGACGAGGCCATGGCTGCCCTCGGCCCTGCCTCACGATGCTCTCAAGAAACCTCCAAGCCCTTGAGACTGAAGCTTCGAGTATCAACTCTGATTCCAAAACATTCGTACGACTGTCATTTAGGGCTTCGATTTTGATTCCCTGAGGCTCCACACGAGAATGATACTTCGGCTTGATTCGATTGAGCTGAAATATCACGAACGAGGAGGTTTGAATCGAGGATCATCGCAAGTGCTAAGGATAGATGATAATCGAATCACATATATTCCGCAATCTGAAGAGCCAAGGCGAGGCTGCCATTACCCAAATCTAGGCGAGGCGGCCTCGCTCATGGCCACTATGGCCTTGCCCAGTGGCCGGTGAGTTCCGACGACCCTTGCCGGCCACAGTGGGAAACAAAAGAAGGAAGGAAAACAAAAGAGAAAAGAAAAATAAATAATTAATAAAAAAATGAAAAATATTATTAAAATATGTCCACGTTAGTGCCTGCTGCACCACATAGGACGGTAGACGTTCACGTTAGAGATTTCCTACCAAAATTGGCCGGATGGACTAAATTGACATAAAAGCAAAAAGTTTAGGGCTCAATTGGCAAAAAGAAAAGGTTTGTGACTGAATTAGCACAATACTCTCCACCGCCTACACCCTATTGCCACCATCAACGACATCCTTCATAAGCCATCATACCATCGCCCACATCGACAACCTTTAACAGCAATATTTTTGCCAAACAAAACATCAATAGCTACCATTTTCACTTAACAATCCTGATGATTCGTGATATTCCTCTATGGAAATATTGAGTGACATATATGTTACGAAATTATCTAATCAATTATTGGATCCGGAACCACCTTTTAGGATGAACAATAAAAATCTAATACCTTATGATCGAGAGATCACCGGAGGGGAATCAAAATTTGAGACTATTAGCACCCCTCATTCGACAAAGTTTCAGTTTAAAAATTAAAGCCAAGGAATTATAAGTTAAATATATGTATCATAACTTAATCGATAATTCAACTATCCAATGTGCGATTTTACGGTTTGCAATTATATTGCACTGATACCCATCTAGACTAGATGTACCTCAACATCGTGGATTAGCATCATTTTGTTGATTTTTTTCCTCATAAGAGCTCTTCTTTGGTTCCTACTCAACCGGGAGACAAGATTGAAGTTGGAAGGGTTGAGCAACGAATTCCAAAGTCTCCTCTACACCTTCAAAGGATCAAGGGCCCAACGGCTACCAATGATGTTTTCATAACGTTGTCTATACTCTCCAGCTAATATCTTAAATTAATCATGCACATTTTTAAGACTAAATTTAATCAAGATAATTATTCTCTCTTGACCAATTTTGTGGTAGGCCCATAACGATAGTGAACAGTGTTTGACGACGACTGTTTCAAGAGCTCTTTGCACTGAAAGTTCTGTCGTCTCTGACTTTTACGAATTAGCTGACTTTCACGAGTGATTATCATTGTTTGTCATGGAAATGAAAAATTACATATGTGGGTAAAATTTGGCGATTAACATACTGGAAGGGCCTAGTGGTAAGTCAACCAATATGAACTTGGCAAAAGAAAACCCGAAATTTCAAGTATGGCTCGAGGCATGAGCTTCCCTAACTGGACAGTAGTTTAAAGGTGCGGTTGTTTTGCGAAAAATAAATGATTTAGAAAATATTTTCCTGAAAAGGATCTCTCGTATTACTTATACAAAATGAATAGACAAAAAAATTTTCATCGTCCATGAAAATATTTAGATATAAATTATTTCGATAATGAAAGTATTTTTATTGATTAATTATTGCAAGTAATATAAGCGAATATTTTTAGAAAAATATTTTCCAATTTATTTTACGCGAAACAAACTATATCTAACTGTTTAATTCTTTGCATCTGTGAAAAAAATAAAGAATTTCCCTTTAGGTGTTTTCGTCGTCAACTCCAACAAGAGGAACTCGAGTTCTTGTACCGTTCTCTTCCTCGTTCTTGTCATGACGTGGAACTAAATCAAGGCCAGCTAGTACAACTTGGTGTGCTTTGAACTTTGAATGATGATGGAGTCCTAACCAATGGACTTGCCTATAAGTACCAAGTAGTTCTCTTCATCATCTTCATCAGCTTAAGCCCTCTCCAGTCTCCATTAGCAATCACACTAAACCGTTCCACTACCCTTCTCGAGTTCAGTTCTCTTTGTTTCTCACAAGGCAGACATGGGAGTCATCGCCTACTCGCAGGATATCACAAGTGTGGTCACACCGTCGAGGCTTTTCAAGGCTATGATCCTTGACTCACACAATGTCCTGCCCATGATTGTTCCCGAGGGCATCAAGAGCGTTGAGTTCATCGAGGGAGACGGTGGAGTTGGTAGCATCAAGAAAACCAACTTCAGTGTAAGTAAGTTGGATTATACTTGCACTTCTACCATGTCAAGTCCATACATAGACCTTGGAATTAAGAACTAACTTCTTAACTTTAATGAATATACATAACAGGCTCTTACATCAAGCACACGAAGCACAAGATTGATGCTCTGGATGCAGGTAGCTTTTACTGCAAATATACCATGATGGAAAGCGATATCAAGTTCGACAAGATCGACTGCATTGTGGAAGAAGTGAAGTTCGTTGCGGCTGGCAGTGGATGCGTCTGCAAGATGACCAGCGAGTACCATGTCAAGGAAGGTTGTGAGCTCAAGGAGGAGGACATCAAGAAGGGCAAAGACAGAGCCATGGGACTGTTCAAGGCTGTTGAGGAGTACCTTGTGGCGAACCCCGATGTCTGCGCCTAAATGCTTTTCTCAAGATCCTTTCTGAGTGACGATAGAGTAAAATGAATGGAAAGTTTGTATTGTATCTTGTGTTTTCCCTTTGGCTCTGCCTCGGAGCTTCTGGGTGAGGAAAGGTTGTTATAGTGTGACTTCTATGTTATAGAGGGGTTTGATTGTTGTGTGTAAGGCCGTGCCAAAAAATAAAGCTTGAAGGAGCATTGAGCAATCCAATAAATTATGGATTTTGCCCAAGAGAAGATCTCCCTTTGTGGTCATGAAGATGAATTTTCTCTTGACTTATAGATGAGTTTGCATAAAGAAGAGATAGAGGGCACAATGAAGTGCAAGGGAAAATTGGGCCTTTCATTATACTTCACGATCATAATAGAGACATTTGTCTTTTTGAGTTAATCCAAGTTTAAAGTGCAGTCATTTCTATTTGATGACTTAGCTACAGTGCCATTTGAAAAGTCAAACTATCAAAATTACCTCTCGTAAAGAGAAGCAAAATAAATCGGATCCACTTCGATTATAAGAAAAAAGAAAAAAAACGCTTTCTTTTTTCTTTTCTTTTTTCTAAAAATAACTCTTCATTTAAACAAAGAATTACAAAGTACAAACGGAAGCAGTACCAATATTAGAGCAATATAATATTTTTTAATTTAAAGGGGAAATTATGAAAAAGAAAAGAAGATACGATTCCTATTTGATTAAAGCCCAATTTGCAAGCGCATAAGTAGCTTCATCACTGGGTTTACCGGTCCCAGCTTAACTCCAACCCGGATTGTGTTGAAGTAGGAAGGTTGAATATTCCGAGGGCAAAGACCCTTTTGTTGGATAACAACAATTAAGATATTGCAATCGATTTTAAAAATTGCTTTTTGGATGCCGAGAGACTTAGCATAATTGCAAGGGAGAGGAAGAGCTTCTGCTTACACTTCCATCGGCGAGTTCCACCTTTCTCTTCTTGTCCAAGGTTGGACTATTGAGTCGCTAACCAATCTTGCAATTATACCTGTGGCTCCTTTATTATCTTTTCATGAACCTTTGTTATCTTTTCATGCACCATCTACATTAAATTTTAGCCTTTGATCTAATGATGGGAGCTAGGACTCTGTCCTTTCCCCAAGAGAATTGGCTCCTAAACTTATTTCGGCAACTATCCTCCATAGCGCAACGAGCGAACTCGATAGCACAACGAACGAACATAGAATTATTCCCTTAGCAATGACAGTCACGGTTGTCTAGTATCAAGCCTAAAATTTGTGTCTAAATCAGTTCTTAATTAAAAAAATTTAATTTAATTTTTGAAAAAAAGATTGTATCTAGGCAATTCGGAGCTGAAAAAGGGATAACTTATCTAGACTCACCTATTTTACACTTTTGTACCGACGAAAACCGATGATTCTCATGTATGAAAAAATATATTCGATTCGAATTACTTTTTCTGGGGGGGAAAAGTACGAAAAAAGTCCTAAACCGATTGCATTTGTGTTAATTCACTCATAAACCTTTCGATTGAGCTATTTTTGTCATAAACCTTTTGCATTTTTATCAATTGAGTTAATTCGACCAATCTAGGTCGGGAATCGTTGACGTGGATGCTGGGTATCTTACGTGGCATGGTTGGTGTTGACCAGGGCCTTGCTGGCCGTTGGCGAAGGTGGCCATGGCCTCGCTAGGGCCTTGCCGGCTGTTGGCGAAGGCTTGCCTCAGCCTTGCTAGCCATGGGCGAGGCCATGGTCGCCTTCGCTCATGTCAGGCTAGGCCCTGACAAGGCCAAGCAAGGGCCACGACCCTCATGGAGGCTAGTGAGGGCTTCGTGACCCTCACCCAGTGGCCGGCGATCTTTGGCGACACTCGCCGGCCACAAACGAAAAGAAAAATAAAACAAGGAAAAAGGAAAAGAAAAATTAATAAACAAGTTTGAAAAAATTGTTAAAAATTTCCACGTCAGCGTCGGTCGTGTTATGTAGGACGGCTGGTGTCCACGTCACCAATTCTAGCCTAAATTGACCGAATGCACTCAATTGGTACAAATATAAAAAGTTTATGACTAAATTATCCTAATTGAAATGTTTAGGATTGAATTCGTATCAATACAATAGGTGATACTTTTCCCTTTTCTAGAAACGCGGTATACCAAATATAGACTATCGTAATGGGCCCACAATGTCTGCGATTGAATATGCAATTTCTCATTAATTGTAATACCTCACCTTAGGTTCTTAAAATAATGGCCACACAGAAGAGCTTTGATCGTGATTTGTCCTTTTTTCCTAACCTTCTAGACGATCGGTGGCTCCTCCCAATATGAAAACAAGAAAGGCTCGAAAGTAATTCGGCCGGTCCAATCCGGAGTGCTTTGAACTTTCAATGACGATGGAGTTCTAAACTGTGGAATTGCCTATAAGTACCAAGTAGTTCTCTTCATCATCTTCATCAGCTCAAGCCTTCTCCTTTATCAATCACATCAAACCCTTCCCCTACCCTTCTCGAGTTCAGTTCTCTTTGTTTCTTACAAGGCCAACATGGGAGTCATCACCTACTCGCAGGAGATCACAAGTGTCATCGCACCATCGAGGCTGTTCAAGGCAATGTTCCTCGACTCCCACCATATCCTACCCAAGATTGTTCCTGGGGGCATCAAGAGCATTGAGTTCATTGAGGGAGACGGTGGAGTTGGTAGCATTAAGCAAACCAACTTTGGTGAAAGTAAGTCAGATCATACTCATATTTCTACCATGTCAAGTACATATATAGACTTCAGAATTAAGAACTAACTTCTTCACTTTAATGAATTTACATAACAGGCTCCCACATCAAGTACACAAAGCACAAGATTGATGCTCTCGACGTAGGTAGCTTTTACTGCAAATATACCATGATCGAAAGCGACATCAAGTTCGACAAGATCGACTGCGTCGTGGAAGAAGTGAAGTTCATCGCGGCTGGCAGCGGATGCGTCTGCAAGATGACTAGTGAGTACCACGTCAAGGAAGGTTGTGAGCTCAAGGAGGAGGACATCAAGAAGGGCAAAGACAAAGCCATGGGACTGTTCAAGGCTGTTGAGGAGTACCTCGTGGCCAACCCCGATGTTTGCGCCTAAATGCTTTTCTCCGGATCCTTTTTGGGTGATGATAGAGTAAAGTGAGTGGAAAGTTTGTATTGTATCTTCTATTTTCCCTTTGGCTTTGCCTCGGAACTTATGGGCGAGGAAAGGTTTTTTATCGTGCGTATTGGTATGTTATAAAGGGTTTGAAGGTTGTGGATAAGGCCATGCCAAAAAATAAATCTGGAAGGAGCAATGAGCAATCCGATAAATTATGGATTTTTCCCGAGTAAAGATCTCCCTTTGTGGTCATGAAGGTGAATTTTCACTTGATTTATAGATGAGTTGCATAAAGAAGAGATGTATGGGCAAAATGAAGCGCAAGGGAAAATTGGGCATTTCATTATACTTTTATGGGATAAGTACATTATAAGTCATAAAACTTATCATGACAGTGCAATTGAGTTTTAAAACTTTTAAAAAGTGTAATTAAGTCCTAAAACTTGTCATGAAAGTGCAATTGAGATCGAAAACTTTAAAAAAGTGTAATCAAGTCCTAAAACTTATCAAATCGATCAAATTAAATCTTTTCGTTGATTGTATTTTTTGAAAGTTTTAGGACTCAATTATACTTTTGTGATAAATTTTAGGACTTGATTGCATTATGTAAAAATTTTAGAACTTGATTGCACTTTGTGAATAGTTTTAGGACTTTTAATGGACTTATCCCTACTTTTCCTAAGCTAGATAGATTATGGTAAGTTGAAAAGCAAGCATTGTTTCCCAAAGAAAAATGGAGAAAATTTGACTAGCAATGAAGAAAAATAAAAGGTAGAAACAAATTAAAAAAAACAAAGAACGGTCATGATAGAGACATTTGTCTGTATGAGTTAATCCAAGTTTAGAGTACAGTCATTTCGGTTCGATGACTTAGCTATAGTAGCATTTGAAAAGTCAAACTAGCAAAATTGCCTTTCGTAAACAGAAGCAAAATAAATCAGATCCGCTTCGATTAAAAAAATAAATAAAAAGAGCTCCGCCACTGTTTTTTAATTCTAAAAGTATCTTTTCATTTCAAATCATTACAGAGTACAAACAGGATGCAGTACCTACGTCAGAATAATAAATTAAAGAAGGCTCTACTAATATAATATTTTTAACTTTAAATGATAGATTGTGAAAGAGAAATGAAAATGCGATTCCTACTTCGTTAAAAGCCCAATTTACAAGTACATGAATAGCTTCGTTAGCTGGATTTACGAGTCCAAGCCTAACTCTAACCTGAATTGTGTTGAAAAAAGATGGTTGAATACTTAGGGCAAAGACCGTTTTCTGGATAACATCAATTAAGACATTGCAATTGGTTTCAAAAATTACTTTTCAAATACCGAGGGACTCAGCATAATTGCAGACGAGAAGAAGAGCTGCTGCCAACAGTTCAATCGACGAGTTCCGACGTTCTCTTCTTGTCCAAGGTTGGACTATCGAGTCGCTAGCCGATCATGCAATTTTACCCGTGGCTCCTTTGTTATCTTTTCATGTATCATCTACATTAAATTTCAGCCTTTGATCTGACTATGGGAGCCAGGAGTCTGGCCTTTCCCTAAGAGAATCGGCACCTAAGCTTATTTTCGTGACTGTCCTTGATAGCGCAACGAACGAACCTAGAGTTATACCCTTAGCAACGGTGGTCATGGTTATTTAGTATGAAGCTTAAAGTTTGTGTCTAATATAAAAAATTCAATTTTCTTTTTGAAAAAGATTGAATCCAGGAAATTCGGAGCTGAAAAAGGGATTAATTTATCTAGACTCGCCTATTTTACGCAATCGTTTCAACGAAAATGGATGATTCACAGTATAACCAAAATATTTGATATGAATTACTTTTTCTAGAGAGGGAGTACACCGAGTACAGACTATCGTAATGGGCCCAAAATGTCTGGGAATGAATATGTAATATCTTTATTAATTGCAATACCTCACGTTGTTATAATAACGGTCAAACAATAGAGCTTTGACCGTGATTTGTACTTTTCGTATCCTTCCAGATGGTCAGTGGCTCCTCCCAATAAAAAACAAGAAAGGCTTCAAAGTAGTTCGGCT